AGCGAAAAAAGAGAAATGGTAAAATATTAGGTGGCAAACAGAAAATTAAAGATTTAAATATTCATTCTTGCTCCAGCTTCTCATTTATGTATAAGAAACAGAGTATTTGGGTTTTGAAATGTTGATCACACAAACAAAACTTGTAAAATAAGGCATCTCGAACATTGTTTTCTGCTTTTGGACAAAAGAAAAAAATTCTAAATAGCAGTCAGTTTTTTTTATCTAGCAGTTAAAGGTAGTGCCAGGTTCATAATTTGTTGGAGAAAGGCACATTTATTTTGTAGTTTTTGCCTCTCTGCACCACAGTGGATCCTAAATCGAACAATTACTATGCGAGTGAAGAGCAGACTCAGATGTGTTTGACCTCAAGGTGCTCCTGTTAGCGAACGAATATAAAATTTTTCTCAGTCTTCAGAATAAAGTGCTAAAACTTCTCTGATGACAGAGAGGTGTGGAAAGATACTCTGATCCGGTTTGTTGCCACAGTCACCAAGCCTCGGACCCAAATATTTAGCTGTTCGTCTTTCTGGTGTGACCGGGCTTTAAAGGTCCTGGCTACAACCCAGCCAAGGGGAAACCGGAGCGCAACACAAAAAAAAGAAAAGGAAACGTAATGCCCACACTGCCTGCTCCCAAGGAAAGACCAACGCTACCACAGGATTGCGGTTTCACAACAACCAGATATTTTATTAATCTCCAAAGATAGCAATGGCCAAAACAACAAACAAAACACTCCAGAAATGAAACAGAACTGATTTACCTATGACGAGAAACCCAAAAGAAAATTTCACTAAGCTAAACAGGAGAAAAAGGTTTTAAAAGAAAACCCCAACAGCAACCAGATCACCAAGGTTTACAATCAATACAAGACAACCAAGCTCTTCTCATCACAGTAACTTGGTTACACAGCTCACCACTAAACACAAGACCCATGGCTAAATGCACAGCTTGTTTGGAAATAGAAAGTGGGCGGGGCAGCCAGCCTCATTCCATGCTTAGCCAATTATCTGCCTCCACCTGGAACTTACATAAGCACAAACAACATACAGCAAAATGACTTGGGTCATAACACGAGAAAGCGATGGCAGCAGCTCTGCAAGCCCATCAATTTTCAAGCACTTAATTTGAAACGCACTGAGACTTAAATCCCCTTAAAAAGCCCTTTTTGAAGCGTGTGTCCCAGAGTCAGAGCATGAAGCCGCTGAAAACTTTCATACCCCTTAAAATGTGGTGCTAACCTGGTTGTTGACTGAGCCAAAGCACTTTTGTTATTTTCTCATCAAGCTTTTGTTACATTTTGTGTTTGCATGCTTTTATTTTGATTTTAGCCCAGATATATGACCCAGACTTTGTAAATGTTGCTGAGCGCTGCAGTCTGCATCACCCGGGAGGCGCTCGTGTTATATTAAGAGTTGGGTTTTTGGCCTTACCGTGTCCACGTCTGGAGTGGGGGGGTGGGGGGAGGCTCTCTGAAAACCGTGTGCTGGACTCAAAGTGCTGCAGTTTCATGTGTGAACTGGAGAGTATGTGGTTCTGGTTGTTTTTAGTTTGTATTGAAACATTTGCACAGCATTTTAACTCATGAAACGGCCTGTTGTCGGCTCATGTGTGTGTACGTGTATGTTTATGCATAATTATAAGGGTTTAAAGATACGGAAACCATGGTAACGACCTACTTGTCCCATATTTGTTCTGCTTTTGTTTGTCTGACCCGAGGGCATCATGTTGGACAGCAGCGTGCTGCGAGTGAGTCCGGCCTCGGTGTCCGAATGTGATTGAACAGTTTTCTGGACGACATTATTCATTCACCAGGATAGTTTGGTGTCACCCAGTGGTTTTTAATGCCTCCACAGAGGCATATGTATAATAAAGAACCATTGTATTTAATATTAGGCCTGCTGTGTTTCTTATATCACACTTTTCAAGACTGATCTACTCTATACACTTTATCTATACTCTATATCCACACACTGCTGCATCTCAAATAGAATAGAATAGAATAGAATAGAATGCCTTTTGTCACTATACACATGTACAATGAGATACAGAGCATCTCCTACGCAGTGCAAACATGTGGTAAAAGAAACGGGTGTGAGGTGCTCAGTTCTGCTGCACTATATACATATGAGCAGTATTCAAAAGAATATATAAAATATACATATGGGGGGAATTAATAATTAGTGTGATATATTTACAGTGTTACAGGGTTATTGCACGTAAACTATTGCACAGTAATGATAGTTGTGTAGTCTGTTTATAGAGGGAAGGCCTTGGAATCGGGGTGGGACTGTATTGTCAGTGCATGTGTGAGTTCAGGGTGGTTATGGCTTTTGGGAAGAAACTATTTTTGAGTCTGTCAGTCTTTATGCTGATGCACCTGTAGCGCATTTTTGTTGCTCTGCTGAGGCAGCGGGAGGACTAAATGTCCATCATGGAGGAGAGAGGGCAGCCGATGATCTTCTGTGCTGCTTTGACTTCTCTCTGAAGCCTCACTTTATCTCCCGTACCATACTGTGATGCAATATGTCAACAGGCTCTCAATGGATGAGCGGTAGAAGTTCAGCAGCAGCCTCAGGAAGTGCAGCCGCTGCTGGCCTTCTTGACGACTGCTGTGAGGTTGTCTGTCCAGGAGATGTCAGCGGAGATGAGGACACTGAGAAACCCGAAGGTGTGGACCCTCTCCACACACTCCCCTTTGATGTACAGGGGGGCTAAGTCAGTGCTGTGCCTCCTGAAGTCCACAAGTTGGTGTTCAGTGCCAGGTTGTTCTCTGAACACTATGCTGCCAATTTCAGGACTTCCTCTCAGTAGTCTGCCTCGTCTCCCTTTGAGATGAATCTGACTACCGTGGTGTCATCAGCAAACTTGATGATGAGGTTGTGGTGGGTGGAACTGCAGTCGTGGGTGTAGACACAATACAGGAGGGGGCTCAGCGCTCAGGGCTATGGTGATGCTGTCTTCTGTGGATCTGTTCGCATGATATGCAAACTGGTAGGGGTCGAGGTCTCGGGGGAGGTAGTCCTTGATGTGCTGAAGGACTAGTCTCTCGAAGCATTTCATGATTACCAGAGTGAGGGCCACAGGGTGGTAGTTGTTCAGGTTAGTGACGGGAGACTTCTTCGGCACTGGGATGATTGTGGCTGATTTTAGACAGGGTGCCCAGTCTAGTGAGAGGTTGAATATTCTGGTAAAGATGAGGGTGAGCTGGTGGCCACACGCTGTTAGCGTCTTGCCAGGTACTCTGTCTGGACTGGCAGCCTTCCTGGGGTTCACTGCTAAGAATACACGTCTGACATCATATTCCGTAAAGTGAGTGGAGCGGTGCAGGAATGAGGTGGATGGGAGCAGGCCTGAAGCAGATGAGGGCTGCTGTTGTGGTGTTTCCAAGTGGGCGAAGAGGCAATTTATCTCCTCTGTGAGCACTCAAGTTTTCTGTTTTCAGACCCTCTGTGGATTATAAAGTCTTGTACGCCCCGCCACACCTCCCATGTGTTGTTGCTGGACAGGTGGGACTCTGCTTTTGTTATGGTCTAAATTGGCCTTTGGGCTGTAGGAGAAAGCCAGGACCAGCAGACTTGAGCCAGGAACCTTCTCGGCTTAGCTGGACCCCCGCCCCAGGAGCTGATCTCGGGGTGATTTATGTTCACATTTCCTTCCAGACTCTGAATGAGTCTTTTCTTTGTGGCCTTCCAGCTGTGAGAAGTCCCTGCAGAGATTAACAGCAAGCACAAAGAGCCTCTGTCACCTCATCAGTGGAGGATGGGGAGTGTCCATTTACTCTGGGTCACTTATCTGATCAACCAGCACACTATTAGTGGTTTTGCAAAAGGCCCTTTAGTGACGTATGTGCTGCTATATATTTTAATAGCACCCTCAAACTCTGGAGCCAGGTTGGTGTTTTTAATCACCTCATCTTGCACCCCAAAGATAACTTTTATTCTTGGAGTCTAACTCATGCTTTGCTGTTCAAAATAATCCTCTAACTTTTACTGATCCTTGGTTGTTTTAGCTTTTCTCCCTCGCTGAAAAAAGTCCACATTTTAACTTAAAATTACCAAAGAGAAAAACTGAATTTTAAGATAATCAATTTTTAGGCATCTTCCTGTTAGAAAGCAGTTCTTCCTCCCCACCATCACCCATTGCTTGCTCGTAGTGGATTGTGTGATGAGTGTTTGTGTTCTTTGTACTCTTTACCCAAGTAAAAAGTGAAGTAATTATAACTTCCACCTGCCTAAAATGATTTTCACATCTAGTTTTATTTTCAGAGGCTCAACCCTCAGCAAAAGTCATTAAACAAACAACAACAAAAAATTTACACGACTGTAAAATCAGCCTGCTTTTATTCCACGACATGTCAAATATTTTACATGGAACAAAGAGGAGCGAGAGTGTTTCTACCAGAGAAAATTAGGTACATGAGGTTAAATATTTCACATCCCCAGAACATTATTTTAATAGAGTTGTAAGTGTTGTGGATGCAATCTGCTGAGCCTTTGTTCATGTTCATTTAACGATGCGCTCACACTACTTCCACACACACTTTAAATTTGTACACATGCTCAGCAGGTTAAAAAAAAAGAAAAAATTTAAAATCATTGATATCTGATTCACTCAAACAAAAGTAAAATAAAATGCTTTACAGTTCAGTTTTAAATAGGTAAATCTGTCAGATGTACTGCTCACTTACTCACACACCATCGTTGACTATATAAAAGCAAGAGCTTAAGACACGAGTGCTACGTGGCTACAGATCGTACTTTAAAACAAAAATGACTAAAAAAAAAGAACACCTTTTTTTGGCCATAAAAATACAAAATAAGATCTTTCTCAAATGTACAAACGTGGCCAAACGTCTTCACTCTTTCAACATGCTCTAGCAGGACGGTGTATACATTCATCAAACATCTGCTTTGTTTACAATTATTTCTTCACACACACACACACACACACACACACACACACACACACACACACACACACACACACACACACACACACACACACACACACACACACACACACACACACACACACACACACGGTCATCCTGAAGCTCCGTCTATAATTCCAGACTCGCCCGATGGTCTGAAGTTTAGGGTTAAAGAAAGATTTCCTTCTCTTTTTTCTGTTTGGCAATGTCCTTGGGGAAAGGAGGTGGAGCTGGTGGAGTAGTGTCGCTGCTCCTCCGTCTGTTGAGGTTCTGAGGCGTCTTCACGTTCTGGACAAATGCTGGAGGACTGAAAGTATCTGAAGGAAGAAAGAAGACAAATCCAGCACTCCAGGGAAATAAAAGCTCAAATTCAGTGGTGTTTATCACTGAGGCGGCAGTTTGTACAGGTGTAGCAGTGCAACCCACTGCAATGACCACATTTCTAATTTTATGTCCCTCCTGTTTATGAGACATGAGAGCAGGATCTCATTATTAGGACCTCAGTCACGTCCGTTCTGTGCCACCAAACTGAAAAGGTACAAACTCTCCACAAGAGGGTGCTGCTCAGTCATTCGTGAACTAAGGATGAACACTACAAATACGATCACGGGCGTTGCCACTCGTTGCTTTTACTCTGGATCCATTTCTGTATAAATGCAAGGTGGCCCACATCATATTGCAGGTAAACTGCTGTCCTGCAGGAACTACATCACTATTTGTGGAGGAAGTTTTGCGCTTTTGGCTGGACTCTGAATACAACTACTTAATGTGATGTGGATGGCTGATTCTTCACAGTTATTCGCATCACAACCAGATTACAGAAGTTACAGGAGTAACTGCCAAACTGAGCACACACACAAAATGAACATGTCTCCTGTCTTATTGCAATTTTACTGCCGTGTTAACACAAAAAAAAAGTTGCTTGGAAGATGGCAACTGACTGCTAGCGGTCGTAGACCTGGTCTCAGTCACATTTCAAAGGCAACGAGTTCACAAGTTCCGTGCACACAGTCACAATAATTCTAGTTAAAAAAATACTGACAAGTGAAATACTGAAGAGTCAAATCTGCTCCCTCCATCCAGTCTTTTAAATCTAAACTTAAAACTTGTTTATACTCTCTGGGATTCGAGTCTGATTTGCTCATTGTGTCTCCTGCAGCTTTTCCCAGCCATGACTGTGCACGTTTAGCACATACTGAGATCTATTTTACTTATTTCTTAGCCAACCAAGTAAAAACATTTTTTACATTTTTCTCCGGTCGTACCTGTATTTATGATCCTTTGAGGACTGGTTTTTCTCTGGAACCTCAGACTTCCTCCTTCTTTCACCGTCACCTGGATGGGCGCCACCTCGCTCAGGTCTATAGAGGCTGGAATTAGAAACACAGTGAGAAATGGTTTCAGTTCACAGCCATGTGGTGTAACAGCTGGCTTCAGATTAAGTGTTGATAAATATTTTTCAAACTTCAGGTTTTAAACGTTAACCTATTTCCTGACCTGCGCTCTGGGCCCTCTTGTGGGTTTTCTTCTTGGAGACTTTGTCCTTCTCCTTGGCCAGTTTTGTGGGGATCTTCTGCTGCACGGGTACAGGTTTGAGCGCCTGGTTGGTGGTGCTGACCAGGTTGGGGAGCAGACTGGGTTTGGCCGGGTGTATGCAGATGCTCTCCCTGCGCGGTGGAACTTTTGGGGGGATTTCCAGAGAATCGAACGGTTTTGTGTAGAGTTGTAGCGTTGAGGTCAGAGTGCCTCCGTTCACTGTGCTTCCCCTGAATGACGAGTACATCAAACACTTCGGAGGGAAAAATAAATAAATACGCAATTTAAATTTTCTTTCACATTTGAATTTGCCTTGGTGTAATGTTTCCTCACTAGATCGTACTTGGAGATTGTATTTCCTTTTGTTTAGCTCAGTGGACACAAAAAAATGGCCACATGAATACACAATCACACCGTTAATGGTGATAAATGTTGCATTCATCTAATTCCAATCCCATTCCTCACCTGTGTGGGATCGTCGTAGCTTGGCATGAACTTCTTCTTAAATTTATCTAAGCGCTCCTTGTCTTGTTCCAGCCGCTCCTTTTCTTTTTCCAGTGATCTTGTGGTCTCCCTCAGTCTCTCCAGGTCCTGCTGGTATTCTTTTTTCAGCACGTCGAGTTCGGTCTTCTCCTCGCTGAGCTTCTCCTCAAACTTCCTGCACTCCTCCTCCTTCTGCTTCAGCTGAGCCTCCTGAACCTCCATCTGGCGCCTGAGCCGCTCCTTCTCCTTCTCCCAGTGCTGCTGCTCCTCTCGAAGCTGCGCCTGCTGCTTGCTCAAGCTGTTGAGTTCCTCCCTCTGCTTTTCCAAGCTGCGCTGCTTCTCGTACTCATACAAAGCGTTGCTGAAGGTAGCAGCCCGCTGGTTCTGTGACTGGAAAGCGTGCTGCAGCGCGTTCTCGCTGTCCTGTTGAGCAACGATTGCCTGCACGATGGAAAGTTTAATTTAGCCGGCTGATACAAAATAGAGAAACATCCGAATTTAAGATAAGCTGCTTTACTTTTAAGCTATAGAGCATCTGCCCGAGCATTATCACCCTGTCATAAACCTGTAAAGAGAAAAAAAAAGAGGGGGGGCAAAAAAGTAACATTTATTCATGAATAAAACAGAGGAAACGATTGCAGTAACTAAGACGATAGATATGAGATTTTGACCTCAGCCTCGGTTAAATGTAGCAGCGAGGCATCGTGGGGTTCTTCATCAGCCTGGAAGTAAAAAAAGAAAAAGCACAAATGGTGTAAATGTTCATGTTTCACCACAGGATGGACGTCAGGTTCTCACATCGTCTCACATCACTCACAGACTGTTCTGGGCCTTCGGAGGAGTGGTGCTGCTGCAGCTGGTCACTAAAGCTGTGGCTCATAGTCGGGGGACTGAAATTTTCAAGGTCATCAGCTTCTTCGCCATCTGAGAAAAACAAATCCTCTCATCATTCATATTCGATGTCACTGCAGGTTTTGGATGTCTTTGTTTTTAGCAGATCATGGGTAGTGGTTGTGGTACGTTTGAAAGAAGCGTATTGCCGATCTTTGGATGTGAGACCAGTTGTGTCATGCTCACATCAGCTCTAATCGGTACAATCAAAAACTATGTAGCAGGGAGCCGACAGATTAAAGAGGGCACCACACACTTCCACCGATACCTCCATCAGGTAACTGAGAAAATTACAAGGCAGCTTTCCATTCACTGATGTCACCACAAGTTAAACATGTCACAGCTTTGATTCTGCATTAGCTGTGTTACTTTAGTATACATGTGTCCTATAAGAGCCACACACAAAGCAGGACAGCACATCAGTCTTACATTTCCAAGTGCTAGCTGCAGATTTACTATCTGCCACTCCTCCCCGTGCGTTACTCTCATCCACGGGAGCGTTTGTGTTGCTTGTCTTCAAGGCAAGCAGGTTCTGCAGGATTTCCACTGACAAAAGAAAAAGAAACAATTCTTTAATCTCTTCCTTAAAAGATAAGATCACTGCTGACTCATGATTCAACAGTGTGAGACGTGAATTTCACTTTTCCTTCAGCATACGTCTTCTACCTTAAAAACGCGGCTGTTTTCCAGCAACATCACACAAAACAACTGGAAACTACAACAAAACTGAGTCCACCTCCATCTCAGTCGCTCCCTCACCTTCGTCGATGGCTGTGTTCAACAGCATCTCCCGCTGCTGGAGGTCGTTGGCGCTTCCTACGAGAGGCAGTCCATCACAGGGGGTTTCCTGTCCAGTCACATGTTTATAGAGAGCAGCAAAGAGCTGCTGCTTCTCTGTCAGACTTTCCTTTATGCGGTCGTCCCTCTCCTTAAGATGAACTAAAGAGCAGCAGAACACAACAAAAGCACTTTTTTTGCGCCATGAAAATAAATAAATAAATAAATCAGTGGAAATCTTTTATTCAGAGAAAAATAGACTTAGCACCAGCGATGGGAATAACGGCGTTACTAGTAACGGCGTTACTTTTTTTCAGTAACGAGTAATCAAATTACTATTCCTATCGTTACAACGCCGTTACAGTTACTAACAAGAAAACGCAGTCCGTTACTATTTTTCAACAAACAGACGGTTGAAGCTGTGTTCAGCTTACGGCATCTTATATCAGTTGCACGGAAGTAGCTGCCTACGTAAGTAATCTGGACGCTACAGCTTTAAGCAGCTGCGCGCGCTCCCGCGGACGATAATCACGATCACTGTCTAGCACAACACCTGGAGCTAAGGGGGCAAAACGATCGCATGAGTGCTGGTGTTTGACTGAGGAAGAATAAAGTATTCGTGGTAAGCCAATCACATGACCACTTAAAGACAAAGCAACAAGTTGATAGATACCAGTTTTTAAATTGTGTTGATAGGCCACGTAAACCAGAGTCATGATAAACAATATATACGCGGCGTTTTTTCCTCAATAGTTTCGTCACGCTAGCAAGCACTCTCTGCTTATGACCAAAAAAAAAAAAAAAAAAAAACCCACAGGGGAAGTTTCAGGAGTGAGAGAGCGAGAGCAGAAAAAGAGAGAGCGAGTTTTGAGATGTGAGAGATTTGTGACGTTTAGCTTGTTTGGAGTGTGTAGTTAATGTGTTGTCTTGTGTAGTTAGTGTGTAGTGTTGTGGATAGTTTTGTGTTGTGTGTCAGAACAATGAGGCGACTGCTGTCTCCAGGTAGAAACAGGAGTGATAACTCCTGCTGCTGTCAGACCTGCAGGTATCAGGCTGTGATGTGCTCCTTTATAGTGGACAGAAATAATTTTTTTGGAGTGGCACAAATAATTTGTGTGTGTGTGTGTCTTATTGAATGCAGAACAGCTGATTGTTCTGTAAATAGTTTAATAATAAATAATAATAATACATTTTATTTAAAAATAGCGCCTTTCAAAGCACCCAAGGACACTGTACAACAGATAAAAACACAGAAACTGGAAATATACACAATAATAAGAATAACAGATAAAAGTTAGAGCATACAGAGGTTTAAACATAAGCAATTTTAAACAGATGAGTTTTGAGGGTGGACTTAAAAAGAGGGAATGAACTAATATTTCTGAGGTCAGGAACTAAAAGCCCTGCCCCCCCATTGTAATCAGACGAGCGGAAGGAACAGAGAGAGAAAGAGAAGATGAAGATCTGAGGCACCGGGATGGGAAGTTCATCTGTACTAAATCGGAGAGGTATGGTGGAGAGAGAGAATGAATAGCCTTAAATGTATAGAGGATTATTTTAAAATGGATGCGAAATTTAACCGGGAGCCAGTGAAGCTGCTTCAGGATTGGGGAGATGTGGTGGGTAGAGGAAGTCCTAGTAATAATACGGGCAGCAGAGTTCTGGACACGTTGGAGCTTGTTAATAGATTTTTGTGTAAGGCCAAATAATAGTGAGTTACAGTAGTCAATTCGAGAGATAACAAGATTATGGACGAGAATGGCAGTGGCATGAGGAGTGAGGAAAGGGCGGAGGCGATTGATATTACGGAGTTGGAAATATGCTGCACGTGTGACATTATTGATATGTGAATTAAAGGATAATGTGCTATCAAGAATGACACCCAAGCTTTTCACAGAGGGAGAGATAGGGACCAGTGAGTTATTGATGGTGAGAGAGAAATTGTTAATTCTGGATAGCAGTCGTTTAGTGCCGACCAGGAGAAGTTCTGATTTATTGCTGTTGAGTTTAAGGAAGTTGGAGGAGAACCAGGAATTGAGTTCAGCTAAGCAGAGGATAAGGGAGGATGGAGGAAGAGTAGAATCGGGTTTGGTAGAGAGGTAAAGCTGGGTGTCATCGGCATAGCAGTGGAACTGAATATTATATTTATAAAAAATATGTCCGAGTGGAAGAAGGTAAATGATGAAAAGAAGGGGCCCGAGGACAGATCCCTGGGGCACCCCAGTAGATGGAGGAGAAGGCTGAGAAGTGAAGGATTTTAATTGAATGAACTGAGTGCGGTCAGACAGGTATGATTTAAACCAGGCTAGTGGAGTATGAGAGAGACCAATAGAAGCTAATCTGCTAAGAAGAATGGGATGAGAGATGGTGTTAAAGGCTGCACTCAGATCAAGGAGAATAAGGATGGAGAGGAGACCAGAATCAGCTGCCATAAGAAGGTCGTTTGTTATTTTTATAAGAGCAGTTTCGGTGCTATGCAGAGGACGGAAGCCAGACTGGAACTGTTCGTAAAGGTTATTATCAGTTAGGTGTAGATGGACTTGTGAAGCAACTATTTTTTCAAGAATTTTTGAGAGGAATGGTAGATTGGAGATAAATGAAATGGTTTGAAATGGTTATTTAAAAAAATCGAGGTAAAAGGTAAATGGATGCAAATAACTTTATTTGCAAAACTTTAACTTTAAAATTGACAATTTATATTTGCATTTAAAGTTATGAAATATGATTCATTAAACATGTTTGTGGTTGTTACAGTAAAAAAAATGTAACTTTTTCTACTCGGATTTTATGTTTTTTGTCTGATTTTAGATCAATTGTGTTAATACAGTATGTCAAAATGAAAACATAACTGTAAATTCAGACACGTGAGGTTGTGCTGAAAACAATGATACCAAACACGGCAAAGTAAATCGATTTTAAAGGTGAAATGTAGAGGAAACATCAAAAGTAGTTAAAAATGGTCAATTATACCCAGAGGGTTAAACGGTTTTTTTTTCTTTTTTCTTTTTAAAGTAACGCAATAGTTACTTTTCAAGTAATTAATTACTTTTAGAATATTGTAACTCAGTTACTTTTTTGAAGAAGTAACTTGCCCAACACTGCTTAGCACACAGTGACTCTCGCTTTGTACACCTAACATTATAACAAGAAGAGAAAGGAAGAAGGTCGTTTTCCACACTCTTTGATCTTCCGGCTGGGACAGGTTGAAAATGCATTTAAAAAAAAAAAAAAATCTTAAGTAAAGAAGGTGGGTGAGCACAAACCCAAAATCAGTTAAAAACTGGCAAATCTCCAAAACAATTTCCAAAAATGCAATTTTTAAATCTTTTAAATCCCTTTCCTTTATGAAGATGTATGCAGTAAAATCAGGTAAAGTTTCCCTCAAATTAATTACTGCAAAAATGTCACACCGGAGGATTTGCCGAGCACAAAAGTGGCCGATGTTCTCGGCCGGCTTACCTTGAAACCTTTGCAGAGTAGTGATCATTTCATTGTACTGCACCTCTTGCTGATGACTGAAAAACACAGACAACCTACTCAGTATCCACTTTTATGTATCATTTTTAATTAGAATTTATACATTTTTATTTGTACAGGGACGAGAATATGACGTGAAACGTGCCACTTTAACACATGCACAAGTGTCAATAAGAGATAATCTGTAAAATAAATATAAACACTAAGAAATAAATGGGTATGATCTCACAAAGACAACAAAAGCTGGCTGTTGGCTGCTTTAATGCTTTAACGTTCAAGTCTTTAGTAAAGAGACATCACACTTTGATCAGGGAGATGTTAACCAATGGCCAGATTTAAAAACAATTTAAATAATTGACTTGTTTTTAATTTAATAGGAAGGCTTTCACTCACCATGATTTAAGAAAAGGAATTTGTTTTATTTAGAAATAAAATGCATCAAATAAAATCCATCTATACCTTATCCTGGTCAGGGTCAGTCTAAACAGAGATCAACTTCTCCCTGGAGAAACTGGAGATTTCTTCCTGTTAGGGTTTCTTTTCTTCCCACAGCCGCCAAGAGCCATCTCAAAGGGGATTGTGTGATTGTTGGGGTGTTCTGTGTATTACTGTAGGGTATTTACGCTATAAAGCGCCTTTAGGTGACAGTTGTAATTTGGAGCTATATATAAATAAAAGTGAATTAAACTGAATCACTGTCTCCAGCAATGATTCCATCCTGATCTCCTGGAAGGACCCGCCCAAAACATCTCCCTTAGGAGGCTATTTAATCAGTGATGTTACCAAATTCTGAATGAAATGTAACATTTATACTGACTAACTTGCTAACTGGAAGGAAGCCAGAAAGGATCGATGGGTGGAGCGAAGGGTGAATCCCCAAGGACACATGGTCTAATGCTTTTATTTTTCAGGGCTGTGTCCACTTAATACTATACTATACAACTTTATAGCACTTATTAATAAAAAGCATAGCATTATTAAGGCACTGCAAATTATTTAATCCCAACACTAATCATTAGCCAATGAGCTTCCCCTGGATAAGCTTCCCTGTGTGACTCCAATAACCAAAGTAGAATTGATCTTTAATTGAACACATTGATACTGAGCCTGCAACAACTTTTCTAAATCTTCATTCTAATATTTAGAGGTGACTCGAGCAAAACTCAGTCCCAGAGACTAAATTTGGTTGAATGCGACACATGTGAACAGAAGCAAACAGAGAACGCAACGGTGCATTCGCAGGCAGATGATAAAATCAAAATTTATAATAAATGTTTTTGCTGTACATTTGATGATGCAAACTTTAGTTCAGACTGGTCCACCCATCAAGGAGGACCTGGGGTACATAGAGAACTATTGATACTACACTATGGTCATTTTAGTGAGATGACCTCATACCAAAGACTGCACTGGCTTCCTTTTTCCAGAAACTACGTCCGATTTGAACGTTTTTCCTAGAAGCACTCGGCTTACCGTTCCAACGCTTCTCGTATGATGGCCTCCCACGTGATGCGCTCCTCTCGAGAGCCCATGCGGATCTCATACATCTCCGGCAAGCCGACGGTGCGTGCACAAATGAGGAAAATAGCCTTCTCCTCCATGGCCACTTCTCTGACTATCAGTCTTTCAAGGGAGATGACTGGAGGTTTGTTATCCTGCACGAGGCGCAATCATAAACACTGATCTTATTATTAAATGCAGTGAAACCTTTTATGTATAAATGATACAGTAAATGGTGTGTAAACGGTGTCAGCCGTTAACGTTTGAGAAGAACTCACAACAGCAGCAAATACGAACTTCTGGTCTTTCTCTTGTAAGAGGAGCAGCACATCTGACAGCAGCACAGCATGGACGTCTGCAGGGGGAGATTAAAGCTGCTCAGCATCAAAACAACACAAGCACTTAATGCTGTGACTCAACAGGACTGCTCATCATCGCTTAATGACAAAAAAGTAGTTTTGCCGGTTGTCGGATTGTTTCGGATTTTGACAAAAGCCGCACTGAGAAGTCAAAGTGGTAATCCACTGAGCACTCAATCCTCAAAGTTTCATTAAAAATCACACCAGAGTACACACACGCTACCCTCAGTTTACCGTCTGACCTCTGCTGATCGCTTCACAGTCACCACTGCATTTTGAAAACAAGGCGGGTCCAAGTTATGTGTAAAGCATAAGTCTAAATATGGACACGAGTGGAAATCTGTGGGAATCTTCATGTGCGTCACACTTGGCTGAGACATGTGACATGCTCTTTGTATTATTACAAATTCTCCCCCCGGCTGAATTTAACTCTGTGGCAATATCTCAAAGGCAACAGCCGCACAAAGCGAATACGACACTAATGGATGTTGCTGTCAGCACGAGGAAGTAAAACTGTTTCACAAAGCAGGACACACTCTGAACTGTAAGCAGCAGGCTTTAAAGTCTCTATTATGCTCAGAGCAGCTTTGCATGACTCACAGTTCAAAACAATCCTCTTATATTGAGCATTTACGTTCGTTTTTTTTTGGGTTTGTTTTATTTTGCTGCTCTCAATGGCTCAAGGCCTTGTAAAAACCTACACAGGTTCCGTCTTAAGCACGTTGAGTTTACATATAATTAAATGTGCTTAAGACAGAACACAGATAAAACAGCCATTACTAGATCAAAGTGTTTGATTGTGACACCTTTTGACTGTTTGAGTTTAAGTTTGATCTTTGATATATTACATGCATGTGTGTTTTATTTAACATATGCTCCTGCGTTTAAATTTTCATGCGCTTCTGTGCATTTGGTTTTGTTCATTCATTTAAATACCATCAACTTGCTGAGGACTGCAGTTGAAAATGAATCTGTGTGGCTAAATCTTATTTATATATATATACATAAACACGAATATCATGCTGAACCAAGAGAAGCGGAAAGAATAAAAATGAGGAAAAAAGCCAAAAGCTCAGGTTTCAGGCTTGTTTAACATGAGACCTGCTGGTTTGTGATCTCATTACAAGCTCAGCAGCTCGGCTCGAAGATCAAAATGTCTTAATAAACTATTGTCTCTCTGCACAGTCTACAAAATATAAAACAGAAATTTATAACATATAAATGTATAACTAAGAAAAATAAAAATGAAGAATTTATCACAACAAATCAACATTGAAAACTAACATTTTCATTGAGAACTTTTATCCTTTTCAGGTCGGGACTCAGGAAAACTGACCGGACCGTCAGTCACTGTTTACTTTGGATATTTAGTAAAACGCAGACATACACAGACGCACGTCCACAGTCATTAGAGCTCGTCACACACCTTTCTGTTTACCAGATGACTTCCAGGTGACCGCGCCTTCATGCACCAGCTTCCTGTTGCCCTGAATCAGATCCTCCCTGCGGATGACCTCGCCTCCGTTCAGCCGCCCCACAGATTTTGGATCCAGACGATAACCGATCTCTCTCACACGAGCGGCTTTCTCATAGTCTTTGACCTGAGCGTTCACCTGGGCGATGGTGTTTTTGATGCACTCCAAGGCTTTGCTGAGAGACCTGTGGTCGTCTGTGTCGGCTGTAAGAGCGAGAAATAAACGATCCAACCACATTTATTTCTTTTTAAAACCCTGCAGCCAGCAAGGTGAGCAGATTTCACTAATTTCAGCTTGTAGACATGTTGCTTAGTTAAACACTGAAAGTCTCGTTAAGGTGGCTGTTGAGATTTTACCGTCGATGTTTTGTAGGAGTCGCTCCACCAGCACGGGATACTTTGTGATGCGCTGAGTCACCAACAGTAAGCAGTCGGAGATTCCCAACCTCCGCACCAGAGGCAGCTGACCTATTTTCTTATTTATAAAAAAAATAAAATAAAAACAAAGAAGTTTCATACATTTTAGATACTTGATCAAATTTGTTACTGTATTTGCTTGTTCAAGAGATTACATTAGAGTACCAGATGTGTGACTGCCATTTAAAGAGAAAGTCTCAAACACTGTTTGACAGTAGACAGCAAGACAGAGAAAGTGATACACACAACATGTTGAAGAATAAGAAAAAACATGCCGCTTTGTGTGGTTACAAAGAAATACACTGGTCAAAAACGCTGAAAATACATCAGATGTCAATGAGAAAAATAAATAAATAAATAAATAATCGTACTGGATATCTATGCCGCATCGTTTGATAGGAATGAAAATGATCAACCTGCAGAGGGGCTGAATTCAAAGACAGCCTGAAAAAGCAAAGTTCCATTGCAGTACCTGAAAACTCGTACTTAGTAATTTGTATTAAAGAACGCAGCTGACACAATGGTTCCTGTGACCTGATACTGTAAACACTTGATCTAAATTTAAGATAAGATAAGATAAGATAACCTTTATTAGTCCCACACGTGGGAAATTTGTTTTGTCACAGCAGGAAGTGGACAGTGCAAAAGTTATGAGGCAAAAATTAGAATACAATGAGAATAAACAAGGATAAACAAAGGATAAACAAAGCGGACCTGCTCTTGTTCTTCAGCTAAAATTTGAAGGAAATCATTTCGACTTGATGCGAACAGCGAGTGTGGATTTCTTACTCTGTCGAGGGCCTGCAGCCGCTTGTTGTTCTGGATCAGATCTTTGTAGATGCGGTCGGCTTCTAAGTGATGGCCGCAAAACATCCCGTAATAAGCCACCATCTGATCTCCTATTGAACCTGAAAACTGAAATAATTCAGGGGGGAGAAAAAAAAAAAAAGGGATATGAAGGCGTTAATACTAACAATGATGTGCTGAATTCACGCAACAACATTTTCCTGGTGTGTGGATGCTGGAAATAAGAGATTTTTTTTTTTTAAAAAGGACATTGATATATGCTGATGTGCTGACTTGCGTTAAGATTTCACAGATCTGTGAGTTTACCTAGAAAACAACAACAGGTGTAGGCGTTTTAATAAACATGAACCCTCTGTGTTAGCATCGAGTTACACTGGAAAAAGTTTTCCATACACTGTGTCAGAAGCAGAGGTTAGAGAACGAAGACTAACATTTCTACTTGTGTGAAAAATGAATATGAAACAGAAAAATTCAGATCCGAGCTTTCCTTCTTGCTTCCCAGCTGACCAATGACTGTAAAAATCATCAGAGGTGTCTGGATTTGCCCAACAACAAATTCAGCTCACAGAGGGATGCACTTAGACGGGCTCTACAGGTTAAGGCCAGTGAGCTCAAGGTCAGTGAGCTCCCAGCCTGGCTCCAGGGACAGCAGGTCTACCTGCTCTCACCTCCGGCTCACCTTTGGGTATTGACCTAAAGAATAAGACTGAGTAATATGAGCAGCAGAACTGAGCTTCCTCTAAATGACACCTCATTTAAAGACAGGGTGAGGAGCTCTGTCATTTGGGAGAAGAGCAGCTAGTCCTCCACACTGATGACAGCCAGTTGAGATCAGGCATATAAGAAGATTACTTATCCCACATGAGCATTTGAGCATTTTTGACCCACTCCCAAACTACTTTGAGGGCCTATAACAGTGTGGCACTGTGTGGATTCTCATTTCTCACTCAGGAAATGTGTTGATAAATGGGGAGCATGAAAAAAAAGTGTGTGTGGGAATATGACGTCAGTGGCATTGCATCGTTCCTGCACGTATTTACTGCTCTTTGTTTGTGGGTCTGTGCCTTCAGTTTTGTCTTGAGTCACTGAAAAACTGCCCTGTTGGGTTGAGGTCAGACTCATTTGACTCATTTGCGCACTGAAGAATATCTTATTTCTTTGCCTTAAGAAAATATTGGGTGAACATCCATTCAGTTTTGCAGAATCGGGCTAAATCTGGGCAGAGTGAAGAGCCCTGCGCGCTTCACAATTCATCCTGCTGCTTCTGTCATCTGTCCAAAAATAAAAAATCTATTTCAGAACTGTGCACGCTCTCGTTAAAGTAAAAGTCTAATCTGGCCTTCCTGTTCTTGTGGTTTTTACCTTGTTATAATCCCTTTTTACCTCCATTCATGAAGCCTTCTCTTGTTTGTAGACCTTGATAATCACTCCTACTGTGACTATCAAGGTCTGTCTGTGGTCTGTGGTTGTTAGGGCCTTTTTCAGTAGCTGAGCTGGTCAGTGCATTCCTTTTTCAAGAATGAACCAGACTGTTGGTTTAGCCACTCCTCTGATAGGCTTATTTTTGGAATTGGAATTTCAATCAGGAAAAGTGATCCTTCAGGATGTTGAACAACCTGTTTATTCTCCAATTTCAGGACCTTTTTCCCCCCATTTGGACCTCTAATGGCTTCCAGATTCCTGAAAGTATTTTGTGGAAGCTGACCTTAACGCATCACTTTGCGTTGTGTTACCATAAAAACTCTTAAAGCATTTTACCCTCAGGATGAGTAAATAATAAACATGTAAGCAGATACGGCGCACTGCTTTCCCAGCTTACCTGAGAGATGAGGACATCTGTTATCTGTGATATTTGGTAGTTAATCGGGTTTCCTTCCTCCTGACTCTGGTTTCGGCACATTTTGAGGCATTTGAGGAAGTGCTCGTGGATGACGAGTAGGGATTCGATGCCCGGGAAGAGCCTCTTCAGCCGATCCTCTTCTATCAGCTGGGACTGCCTCAGCTCGTGCATGAAGACCCCGAGAAGGATTTTTAAGGTGTGCACGAGGTGCACCTCGGTCTTGATCAATTCTAGGAAGTACATGAAGAGAAAAACTCTTGATAAAATATTCTTCTTTCTCAGCACCAACCACTGTGACTCTAAATGTTTCCCCAATGCAGCGTAAAAGACAGGGTCAGCAGGTCAAAGCAGCGTTCAAAGGCAGAGAAGAGAATTACTAATGTCATCGTACTTATTATCACAGCAGAAGTGTGTCTCAGCAAAAGGTCCTATGAGGTAAAGAGAGAATCCACCACCGCTGTTGTAATCATAATTATAGGCATTAGAAAGAGCTCTCAATTCAATGGGTGATTGACATAAGATTCTGACACGCTGACAAACACAGGAATTTATGCGCGGATATATTTTGACAGGTTATAGAAAAATACCCATAAAGAGCAAAACAGCATTCAACATTTAGGCCTCAACTTGATTCAGTATAGCTCAGCGTACCATAGATGATGTCTTGTCTTTTTATTTCCTCTTTGCTCAGGTTCTTTAGGTAGTTCTGATCCACAGTCAGACTCCAGGAGTCTGCCTCCAAATTCTGGGCATCGGCTTCAAGCTCGAGTTGCAGCAGGGTATAATGGGAGTCTGGATGACACACACACACGTTACATGAAACAAGGCTTGTGCTTTGTGGTCATATGAGTGCGTGTCAGTGATTCACTGCTGGTTACACAGGTTTTTTTGAATCTGCTTTTAATAACTTTTCTTTATATAGCAACAGATTTAGGTCTTTTCCTTATTTATATACAACTGCATACAAAAATATTAAAAGTGAGTAAAACTAAGCAGCACTGGACTGTGTTAAATATATTTATGGACAAGAACAACAAAGACTATAAAAAGGTATTTTCACCCAGGAAGTTTCCACCATTATTTTCCGACTGTGACAGAAGTGAGGAGCTGTGAGCAGCTCCAGGTCGTGCTTGACCGACTGACCTTCGAGGTTGATGGGATCAGTCAAGTCCTCACTGGAGAGCTTCAACCGATCTCTCCAGCTATCGGTCTCCTCCATCTGTGCTAATTTGTCAATTTCTACTGAGTGAAAAGAAAGAAAAAACCCCCACAAAGGAACAACGTCACAAAGAATAACACAAACATCACATAACTTGGAATGTGTGGTTAGGTTTGAGTTTCTTCACTAGAAAACAGCCTATTTATTGTATCAGGAGTAAAACTAAACCTGGGGACGTACACACCTGGGGCTTGTGCTGCTGTAAGAAGAGAGGGGTTGATTTTGGTTTTTTTGGTCGGGGTGGGGGGCAGTCATGCGTGGACCGAGGAAGTTGGCTGAAAGGCCATTGTGGGCTGGGGGAGAAATACTCTCCCCAGGGCTGTGTGAGAGAGCAAAAAACAGTCTGTGAGAAACATGAGCAGAAAGATGAGGACTGCTAACAGACTAAAGTGTCAGGTGGTTAAAACACTGAATCTCTAGCAAATTTGCTACATCGCAAATGTCCCCCTGCTGCTGCTTCGTCACTAGCGGATTGCTGCTGTTACCCACAACTTGTTTGGAAGACTTCATTCCTGTCTGCAAACAGTCGCCAACTACTCTCTGAGCTGCCTCAAAGTAGAAGTGTGCAACTGAAGGCAAACATTCTTCATTTACTCCATTCACTCTATTCTTCATTGCAGATAACCCAATGGAAGGAGGCTTTCGATGTAGTGGTATTTCTCGGCCAGTAATTTCACGTAGCAACAGCAATTAAACCTCAATCAACCGGCCAATCAACCGGTCTCCAGGTCTGTGTGACTGGAGATTAAAGCAAACTACTAGAATATCAATTTAGACAGAAACTTTATGTAGTCAGGGCAACATGATACCGCTGAAGGTCACAGCGTGATTGCTTATTGCCATCTGTGAAGCCACAACTTAAACTCAAACACAAGTTTATCATTTTAGGGGAAATAAAGTAAAATATAACTTTATTATTCGGCTCTGAAATCTCTCTGTCCTCAGACAGTTACACAAACAGACTTCCTACCAAAGAAAAAGAACAATATTGGCAGACAAGTGGTTACAAAACTAATCTAGTCTTGTGTAGAGGGAACTGGTTTAGCAAACTGTGACAACACAGCTCAAGTCAGACCAGCTTTCAGGCTAACTAAAAGAAGAAAAAATTATGCAAGACAAGTGGAGCTGCACAAGTGATGTCATTTATTCAATTAACACAGGTACAGCAGCTGCTTGCACAAACACAGATCAACATTTCCTTTTATTCTTTGAAGGGTCATTTCGCTCAGCATTTTCCTCCTGACTCAGAGATCTGCATCTCTGCAGGGAGATGACTACGGACACATCCTTTTACACTCAGCTTTTCCTCGTCCCTCAAATGACTTTTTATCATATTCTTTTCTGTGACCCCGAGTGACTCATCTGCTTCTAACACTTCTGCCTCGCTTGTTTTCCAACTTAAGCGTGTCACCGTTTCCCTGAGACAAGGGGCGGGGGAAGGGAGGGGGGGTGCAACAGAGAAAAGACACTTAAATTAGTGCACAGAAACAAAAGGAGGAAAAAAAGTATATGGGGGCCTGCTGGCTGGCAGTGTGCGCATGCTAATGGGTGCTTAAGTGTCAGCGACAACAATCTACTGGTCTTTGCACACACCTACATGTGTTTAATCAGCAGCAGCAAAGCCTGCTGGAGGTCTGACAAAAGAATGAACAACGCAATGAAGAAAATGATGATGGGAGTAAACGTCAAAAACAGTCACAACTTTAGCAGCAAAGATCTGTATTTTACTGGTTTCCCACCACACCCAAGCTCAAAGCTTCATCATTTCACCCCACAGTTTAAGGAGGAAAGGCAGCAGCTGTTCAAAGCCAGACACACCTAAAGCACACACACACGTTACTATGACACAACTCATAAACACACATAGCTCTCGCCTGCAAACTTATGTCTTTTTTTTTTTTTGGTAAAACAAGAAGAAATCTAAACTTATACTTGCAGCACACTCTTCAAAGAAGCAGTTTCGGAGCCTCAACATTATTCTTTTGGCTGCCATCATGTTATTTATTTGTAGAACCAGAAGTGATCTTTAGGATACAGAGCTACAGCATGAGCCAAGCAAGTTAGAAGTTAAAGGCGGTGTACCTACCTATTTACTTTGACTGTCTCTAACATTTTATATATCAGGAGATAAGTATATTTAACAAAAATAATCTGGAAATACAATCTAGGATGAACTACAAAATGGGGCATATTGCACTTAATTCACAAAAAGTCAAAATACAGAAGCATTGTGTGGAAAAACTCAGTAACCCGTTACTGCTTCCACAGAAATTAAGAGTGCGAGACGTAGGTCTGCTAATAAAAAGCAACTCATTGATAATAAGCAGGTGTTAGCACCTCTAAAAAGATGTTTTTGCTAGCAATCTTAAAGAACCAATTGCTGCTGCCCATCAATCTGGGAAAGGCTATAAGGACATTTCCAAACAATCGAACTGCATCTTTCTGTACTGCAAAAGATTATTCACATGTAATAATGTGAATAATAATAATAATAATCTTAAGGTCAGACAGTGCAATGCTCAGAGAAACCGCAAAAAAAATCCAAGAGCTCTCTCTCAGACTCTGGAAGTCTCAGTTAGCATGTTAAATGTTAAAGTTCATAAAAGTTCATGACAGAGTAATTGAAAAAAAAGACTGAATACACTTGGCTTGTTTGTCAGGTATGCCAAGAGAGTGAGTGCACAGCTGAGGTTTGCAAAACTGCATCTGAACAGATGTCCTTTGGACAGCAGAGATGTTTGGCTGTAAAAAAACAAAAAACCAAACACAGCACATCAGTAGAGAGCTGAGGATTTGGGCACCTTGCAGTCACTGAGTGCACCATGATGTATACCAAAGTATTTTAGCGTCAAAGAGTGAGGACATCTGCCCAACCCGGTTGTTCAGTGATGACGCGACGAATCCTACTTCCGGGTCTAAAGTAGTCTGCGTTTAATATGGCTTTTGTGTTGTTAACATGTTTAATGTTTTGTATTTCCTTCTATTTAATCTCAAAAAGCTCCTAAAACAGTCAGTGATCACTGTTGACCTCCCTCTGCTTTTACCACTAATCATTTATTTAAGCTCAGTTTTTAAAACCTTAGGATGTAACTACAGCCCAGCCCATGCAGCAGTATATGAATGACTAACCTCGTATTGTGGATGGATTATCTCAGTTGTTCTCCTGGCTGAAGTTTGGTCCTTTTACAGCATCCTGCCATGCGATTACATTTGTTCCTGACCACCGAGAACACTCACGGTAACTTTTATCGAGTGGAAAAAAAGTTAGCTTGTTTATATTATCCTAACATAGCTGTGTCGCTAGCGGTCACGTAGCACATCATTATATACCAGCTAGCCCAACTTCAGTAACCCTACAAACGTCACTGCTGTTTAGTTTTCTGTCTTCATTTATGTTGGAAGTGATAACAGAGCTGTGCGTTTTAATTTGTTTCCAAAACCCCGCAGTCAGGACATGCTATATTGTATTTAGATAGAAGCTAGCGAGCTAACTCCCTGCTAACTTCTAACTCCGTTAAATGTCATAAATTCCGTTTTCATGGATGCCTGGATGTTAAACTCAATTGTTACACCTGGTAGAGCAGAACGCTGATCATTTTATTAAAGATGAAAGACTTTAGACAGTTTTTCAACTCTCAGTAATGCCATAGTGATCGTTTGATATATGGACCTGCAGCGGAGTTTAGACCCAGACATGGCTAGTGACGTCAGACTGAACAACCGGACAGCTAAAGCCTGACTGAAAGTGGGTCATGAATGACTGACAGAGTCAGTCACACTGATTCTTAGGTTTTATTTTCAGAATCCAGAGCTCAACCTTATTGAAATGCTGTGGTGGAACTTTAAGAGAGCTGTGCATAAACGAATGTCTGCAAACCTCAATGAACTGAAGCAACATTATAAAGAGGAGTGGGCCAAAATTCCTCTGCAGCGATGTGAGAGGCTGATACCATTACTTCAGGTTACTGCTGCTGAAGGTGGCTCTACCAGCAACTGAATCACACACTGCATCTGCATATTTGTTTATTTTTTGATTAATAAATTGGATGTACATAAGATGTAATCAGTTGTTGTTCATCTGAAGTTGTATTTACTCAATTTACTCAAGACCAGATAAGGGCGAGATATCTTTTATGATGTCCACATAAATCAAAATGGTTACAAAATAAACCAAAGTGAGAATACAAAGACAGCATCATGCCTTACTGTATCATGTTACAGCACTTTCTTTAAAAACCAGCTTTTAAGCTGCATGGCATATGGTTATCCATGTAGTGGCTGTATCATTCAACAGCTCGTTGAAGACAGAAGCCACACCTCAAATGATTCACCCACATGGGGCGGAGAGGGAGCAGAGCAGCGTGAAATACAGGTCGTTCTCTGCAAGGAAATAAAAACAAAAAACAAGACTGGCAAGTCTGCCGAGTATTCTGCAGAGGACAGAGACGGGAAAATACTGGTGAATGACGTGTTTGAAGAGTAGCTTTACTCAGACTTACAGCAGCATAGCAACAGGAGGACTTCTCCTGGCAAGACAGCCCCAGCAAGGCCACCCACAGCTCAGAGCCAGAAGAGGCCACAAATCCAGTGATCCATTTGCTCTTGGCCCTCATAAAACCCAAACAACGTACATTTCACACATAACTACAGTAGAAAATATGATCAGAGAGAGAAATACTGCAGTGCTTGCTCTCTTGTGCAGCCTTGACACACAGTTTACTTATTGACTAGAAACAGGGTGTTTTTAACTCCACTGCAGTGTGCTGTAATCGCATGCCAATGTGTTTCTGTCAGTATGAAGAGGTGAATCTGACCTTTACTGAGTCCTCAATGTGAGGCTGGAGCAAGAGCATGTGTCTGCATCGTGGAGTTAGAGTCCCGGATAACCCAGAGCACGGCTAAACCTTTAAATGTTACACCAACCTCAAGGCCTTCAGCTCCATTTGTGGTCTGAATTTATAAGATTACAGACGTTTACTGTATTTTCTCACCATTTCAAGCTGCTATTGGTTCACCTGAATTCATTAAAGTGTGTGAGACTAATTAATAAACCTTAGAAACCTTAAAGTATATTATGTGCAATTTTTAATACTTAAATATACTGTAAAACAATATAAAAAACAGTAGACCGATTATGCTGCTTTAACGCCTTTCCAACACTCATCTGCAGCTCCCTTAAATATCAACAAAAGGCCCTTTTAGCCGCTCCATTATTTTCTATAACCGATGGATTACTATAATTGATTGAATAGACTTTACTCCGGGTGCCCTTCCTTCACTAAATCTCGAGCCTGTAGTGGGACCTGTAGTACAAATGAC